TCCTCCGCCTCCTCCGCCTCCTCCTCCTACTCCTCTTCCCTCCTCCTCCTCCTCCTCCTCCGCCTCCGCCTCCGCCTCCTCCTCCCTCCCTCCCACCCCCTCCCCTCCCCTCCCCCTCCCCCTCCCTCTCCCACTCCCCCTCCCCCTCCTCCTCCTCCTCTCCTCCTCCTCCTCCTCCTTCTCCTCCTCCTCCTCCTCCTCCTTCCTCCTCCTTCTCCTCCTCCTCCTCCTAATCCTCCTCCTTCTCCTCCTCCTCCTCCTCCTCCGCCTCCGCCTCCGCCTCCGCCTCGCCTCCGCCTCCGCCTCCGCCTCCGCCTCCGCCTCCGCCTCCGCCTCCACCTCCGCCTCCGCCTCCGCCTCCGCCTCGTCCACCTCCTCCTCTCCTCCTCCCCTCCTCCCTCCCTCCTCCTCCCCTCCTCCTCCTCCTCCTCCTCCACCATCACCATCATCATCCATCATCATCATCATCATCATCATCATCATCATCATCATCATCATCATCATCATCATCATCATCATCAACATCAACATCAACATCAACATCAACATCAACATCATCATCACTGGGGCACCATCATCATCATCAGCATCGTAACGCCACCATCATCATCATCATCATCTCATGAAACATCATCATCATCAACTTCATCATCATCGGGGCACCATCATCAGCGTCACCATCATCATCATCATGACCATCATCATCATCAAGACACCATCATCATCATCAACATCAGCATCACCCTCGTCATCGGGCCACCATCATCAAAATCAACATCACCACCTCATCATTATCCTCATCATCAACATCATCATCATCATCATCATCATCATCATCGGGACACCATCATCATCATCAACACCATCATCATCGGGACACCATCATCATCAGCACCGTCATCATCAACAGCATCAGCATCAACCTCATCATCACCATCATCATCGGGACACTATCATCATCAGCATCATCAGCATCATCATCATTTCATCATCTCATCATCATCAACATCATCAGGATCAACATCATCACCATCATCATCATCGGGACACCATCATCAGCAACATCAGCATCATCAACATGATCATCATCAGCGGGACACTATCATCATCACCACCATGGTCATCATCATCACCATCATCATCATCATCAACACCGTCAACATCATCATCATCATCATTGGGACACCATCATCATCATCACCACCATCACCATCATCATAAGCATCAACATCATCGACATCACCATCATCATCATCATCACCATCATCATCGGGCCACCGACGGGACACCGGCGGGACACCGGCGGGACACCGCGGGCCACCGGCCTCCGGAAAGGAATCATTTGGTCCGGCCGCGCCTCAGCCGGAGGAGATTTTCTTCTCGCCCGCCCACGCAGCTTCGCCTCGCCCGCACGCACGGCTTGCACGAACACGAAACCGAAACCGATTTCCTGGTATGGGGGCTCTGCGTTCCACTTCGATCTCACCCCTTCACTTCCGAATCATGGTAAGGAGAAGAATGCTACTACTAATAATCAATACTAATAACACTAATCAGAAGACGAATGCCAATAATACGAAGAAGACGACGAATAATAATTACAATGTTAAGACCAAAAACAATCATAAAAACAAATAGACAGATACGAAGAAGACGAATGATAACTCGACTATGATGACAACTAAGACGAAGAAGAATATTAATAATACTGATAAGACGTACTAAGAATAATAATACTAATACTTTTAATAATACGATGCAGAAGAGTACGACTAATATTATTAAGACTACTATTACTAAGCATAAGCGCATGCAGACTACGTATTATAATAATACGACTACGAAGAAGGACATTAACATTAATAGTAACAATGTTAATGCTACGAAGGAGAAGACGACAACGAATAGTATTACGAATACTACTAGTAATAATACGACGAAGAAGACTAATACGACCACCACGACTACCACAATACTACTAAGAAGCATCATAAGAAGGATACGCATACTAAGACTACGCATGCTAATACTATTCATAAAACTACAACTAATAATAAGAGGACTAAGACGAGGAATAATACATTAAGTATAATATTCACAAGACCATTAAGCATACGAGTATTGTTATTACTAATGTGAAGAATAGCATTCATAGTACTGCCAATACTACTAATAGACTACGACTACTAAAATAATAATAAGAAGAAGAATACTACTACTACTAATAATAATACTAGTAGGCATACCAATACTAGTATGAAGAAGAAGAAGAATAATAATAAGAAGAATAATAAGAACAACAATACTAAGAATAAGAAGAAGAGGATGATGAGGAGGAGGATGCTACGGCATGGACGCCCTGGCGCGAGGTCACCTCGAAAGTGCCTGCGGATGAGAGCTGATGGAGGGAGGGAGGGGGGAGGAGGAGGGAGGGAGGGAGGGAGGAGGGAGGGAGGGAGGGAGGGCGGAGGAGGAGGAGCAGGAGGAGGAGGAGGAGGGAGGAGGAGGAGGAGGAGGAGGAGGAGGAGGAGGAGGAGGAGGAGGAGGAGGAGGAGGGGAGGAGGGAGGAGGGAGAAAGGGAGGAGGAGCGAGGGGGGAGGAGTGAGGAGGGGGAGGAGGGTGGAGGAGGAGGAGGAAGGTGGAGGAGGGAGGAGGGAGGAGGAGGGGGGAGGAGGGAGGAGGGAGGAGGAGGAGGAGGGAGGAGGGAGGGAAAGAGGGAGGGAGGGAGGAAGAAGGGAGAGGAAGTGAGGGATGGTGGGAAGGGCGAAGAGGAGGGGAAATGAGGGAGATGAAAGAGGGCGGGCGGGGGAGAGTAGAATCGAGGGGTCGGAGGCCCCTCCCACTGCCGTTCATCCCCCGCTCCTTGCCTGTCTCTTCCTTATTCACATTCTCGTTTCCTCCTACCCCTTCCCGCTCTCCGCTCACTGCCCCTCTTCCTCCCGACGCCATTCCCCTGTTGCACTCGTGAACGCTGACGCTGATGCCGTTGGGCATGGTGCTTCCAGCATGTGCTTGTCAATCGTGCCTCACTTTGCCACCGTTCCTTCCACCAGCGAAACGAAACTGGACACCAACACCCGCTGGGATCCCCTGCGCCCTCCCTGGCCCCGCTGTGGGTGTCGGTGGTGGCCAGGACCGCACACGATCCGATCGCCTCGGTGATGCGGGTCGATGCCTGCTAGCGGCAGCGATCGACTCGACCGCGCACTACGCGACCGGGCGGCCTCGCCCCTCCCCTGCGGAGCGGACACCGGCTCAGGAGCGCGCGGACTCGTTGCCGGAGGCCCGTCGCCGATACGTCGGCGCTGTATCTCTAGGGCTCCTCGATGGGGTCGGAGTAGGTGGGGTCGGAGGATCGCGCCGCATCGCCGATGCATCGCCGACGCAGATGCGGCTCGGTGAGGGGCACACTTTTCTCCACGCCGACGTCGCCGATGCATCGCCGACGTCGCCAGTGAATGGCCGATGCATCGCCGATGCACCGCCGATGGTTCGGCGATGCGGCGAGATCCTCCGACCCCAATTGCTCGGACCCCATCTAGGAGGCCTCTAGCATCGCCGATTCAGGCTCGATGCTTCCCCAGTGCCGGCCCCCCTCACATTTCCGCTCGTTTCCCGTGCTTGCCTCGAGAGGGCCCTGGGTTTCTTTTCGGTTTCGATGTTTCTGCGGCGGAAGGCGCGACGTGTCCGCACCAACTGCCCATGGACGTCCTGGGGTCTCAGGGTTGGGGTTTTTTGTTGAAGGAGTCTGGTGGATCGGCCTCCGCTGTTCGGGGAAGCGTCAGACTCGAGTACGCCGGAGCTCGGGTTCCTGGTGACGTTTTTGGACTAGCGCGTTCTGGATGTTGGAGTTCGCGTCACATTTCAGATTGGGCCTCGTCATTTTGTTATGATGGCCACATCGGGCCAGTCCGAGTTCCCAGTGCCCGAGTCTTACGTGTAAGTCGGGCGTGTCCCTCTACAGGCGGAATATTCAAGAATAGTCAAAACATAGTCAGGGGACGATTTTTCGACTATTATTGATCATTTTGGAGAATTGCTTGACTATGTTTTATTTTTCGTCCAAAAGCTGCCTGTGGGGGGAAATGCCCGACCTAATCTTACGTCTCCCCGAGCTGCAGGGGGCTGGGCGAGGTGGTCGGAGGGCACCGAGCGTACAGTGGAGACCCATGCCAAGCGAGACCCTGCCTGCCTCCAGGGTGCCTTGGGTTTCTTGGGCCTCGATGGCTTTTCAACGGAGATCGTGACGCTCCCACACCAAACATGCATGGGCGTCCTGGGGTCTCAGGGTCGGGGTGTCTTGTGAAGGTTTCTTGTTCTGCACGCACGAAATGGGTACATAAAGAATGGGTGCAATGCCCAACAGCAGCTCCTGTTCATTTTGAACAGGGCTCGCTGTTCGCGAAGCCGCGGCCCGTGTCCACTTGAGACAGAAGGCCGCCTGCCCAACGGCGGCCGCTGTCGGTCTGGGACGACATTTGCTGTTGGGCATTGTACTCCTTTTTTCCGTGCCCATTTCGGGCGTCCAGACTTCAGCGTTACCTCTGTTGCATGCTTAACGGCATTATCCTTTCTTGCCCATGTCTTCCGCGAAGCCCATTGACTATGAGACATCTTCGGGACACACTGCAGGGATTGTGAATATCCAGGCAACATATTTTTTTCCGTACACATTTCGGGCGTCCAAACTTGTGGGCTGGCCGCTGTGTGCACCTCCACCGCGGCCCTTGCCGGGCCGCTCCCGGGCCCGGGCGCGGTGCGCGTCCGCCTGCCCGTCGAGGCCTCGGGGGGGGGAACCGCTCCTCCCGGGGCCCAGGCGCTGCCCGGACCGGGCTCGGTGCAGGCTAGCGTCGGGCGTGTCTCCCTCTCTGCCGGGGGGAGTGCTCAAGAGTGGCGCATCAATCGGACGTAGTCCCGGGAGGCTTCTCCGCTGCCCCTTGCCCTTTGTCTGCTGTTTTTTTCTGCCGGCTTCCGGTCTCATCCGTCCCTGCCCCGCCTGCATGGGGGACGTGCCCGACCTGAGTATGGGTATGCACGTGGCGCTTTCCTGGTCGGTGGCGCTCTGAGCGAATGCAGGGGGGGGGGCTCGCCCCCTCGCCCTCCAAGGGGCCCTCGTGTGCGCCCCCGAGCGTCTCTGAGGATCACCGCCCACCAAAACACCCCGGCCCACCTCAAAGGCCCCCAAATGCCCTCCATTTCCAGTGTGGGGGGGGGTCGGGGAACATGGGAAAACTCACATGTGGAAGCCGCACCCCACCCCCAACCCGAATTTCGGGTCATCGGGTGGGGTTGGGGTGGTCTGGTTGGTAGTCAGGGAAACTCTTCGCCCCTTCGGAAGCCCTCCATACCCTTCCCGCGTGACACTCGCCTCCTGCGTGTCGCCAGACCCAGACCCCCCACGCAATCTTTGTCGCACCGCTGACCCCCGGACCGGCGTTTCCTCCCGAGTCGTTTTTGGATGGCCCCGAGGCCCGGTGGGGGCCGCCAGAGGCCGAGATCAGCGAAGAGCTTCTCGTCGGGACTTTCGCCACGGCTCGTGGGGGCCTGAGAGGCCGACAGAGGCGAAACGCTTCCCGTCGTGAGTGTCGTCGCCATTCGTGGGGGCCTCGGTAGCCCCTCCCCCTCCCTCCGCCCTCTCCGGGGGCGGCAAAGAGGGGGGTGACGACAAGGGGGGGTGGATATCATGGCGTGGGCCATGGTATCTCCCTAGATTTCATGGCGCCTCTTCTTATTTCGTTACGTCCCTGCCCCCCCCCCCCTTGGGCCGCGCACGTGCCCCGCCAGCCATGATTTGCACCCCCCCCACTTGGACGCCCCCCTCTTGGCCGCCCCCGCCCTCTCGGCCGCCAGGCCTGTCGCGGCGATACGCCGCCGCCCTGGGGGAGGAGTTCGCGGGCAAGGGGGCCCGCACCTCAGCCGCCCTGCCGCCGGCGAGGGGGGGTGGGGCGGCGGGGGGGGGAGGTGGGGGCTCTTGGAGGCCTCCTGCGCCGTCTTGGGATGGTTTCGGAGGCCACCCGTGCCGTTCTGGAGGCCTCCTGTGCCGTTTTGGGGTGGTCTCGGAGGCCTCCTGTGCCGTTTCCCTCGGAGTCGTGCAACAACCACGGCGGAGTCGTGCAAAAATCGCTCGGAGTCGCGCAACAACCACGGCGGAGTGTTTTTTCTCGCTGTTCTCGGCCCCTTGGGGGCCTCTGCCAGGCCTCGGGGCCGTCCAGCAACGGCTCGGGAAGACGAGCGGTTCCCGGGGGGTGGGTCGAGACCTCTGGGGGTCGACGTCACGAGCAAATCGTGACGTCGGAGGTTTGGGGATTGGGGTGAGGACTTTCTCAATGTGTGTGTGTGTGTGTGTGTGTGTGTGTGTGCGTGTGTGTGTGTGCGTGTGTGTGTGTGTGTGTGTGTGTGTGTGTTCTCGTGGCCCCCCGTCTTCTTTCGGCATGTCCCCTGGCACACCTTCGGTGGATGCGAACGTATGCAGCCATCCCGCCCATCTCGGCACACCCCTCACAGCCCCACAGGAAGCTCCACCTACGGCCTCTCCGTGTGCGCGCCCGCATGCCTCGCGCACCACCCACGGCCCCTGCGGGCGGGCCTTCAAGCGGGCCCGCGCCTGATTCGGCACCCCGCTTGCGCGGATCCAGGGAGCACTATGTATGGGCGGACCACGCCCTGCGCTACACAGGGATGCATAGGGTTTGGCCCTTCGCAGCATCAATTGCAACTGCCCTCTCCCTTTGCGCCTCTGCGGGCACGCACCTCGGTGAACCTGTGGAGGAGGCAGGAGGCCGCAGGAGGAAGGGAGGAAGGATGCACGAGGGCGGGTGAAGGAGGGATGGGGCGAGCGGCGAGGGAGTATTGCTGAGGGGGAAGGGAGGAGGCAGGTTGGCAGGGAGTGGGGGAGGGATGAGAGCAGGAGGACGAGGAGGACTTGAGAGGCAGCAGCTGCTGGCATGGTCTCCTCCGTCCACTCCGTTTTTGGCATGACGTGTTTGCTCTCGCCGATGCCATCCAAGACGCCTACGGTTATGTCGGGCCTGTCCCCCCTGCAGGGAGATTTTCTCGACGAAAAAATAAAAACACCCAGCACATAGTCAACAAATAATCCAAAAATAGTCTGGACACTTTTTTTAATTTTTTTTTTCATGTTTTACCTTTTGGGGGTATTTTGAGGGTATTTTTCTTCTTCGTCGAAAATCCCCCTGTAGGGGGACACGCCCGACATAACTCTACGGCGAACCGCAGCCGCTCCTTGCCCTGTGACACCGCCCATGTGGCTAGCCGTTTGGCCAAGTTCGAAAGCCTTTTTTAGGGGAATCGTGGGGGCCTGATGGCGGTCTCGGGGGCCATCTTGGAGGAGGGGTATCAGCACGTGAATCAGTGCTATCCCTCTTGGGCCCCTCCTGTGGCCGTCTTTGGGGCCTGTCGAGCCCTCTTGAGGACCTGGAGGGCCATCTTGGGGCGATCTTTGGGGCCTCCTAGGTCATTTCTTTTCTCAGTGCGAAATTTCGCAAACGCTTTTTGGGGAACAGACTGGCTAGAAGCGGCACTGACCAAGGATTCTGCAACGCGCGAAGACGATTTCGTGCAATTTTAAATCGAGCACCAGCAGTGATGCTCGACAGTGGCGCCCGATCCCTGGCCGAGCTTTGACTTGATCGGATTGCTTGCTTGGGTCGGCCCTCAGGGTCTCCAAGGCTGCCGAAGATGTCCCCAGGAGGGCTCTACGAGGGGCCCCGGGAGCACCGTGGGCCATGCTGGAAGCGTGGATTCCAAGTCCTGCCGCCGAGGCCTCCTGACGCTTGACGTGACAAGCCCCAGGAGCGCCAGTGAGCTGGGGGTCTGGGGCTCCGAAAGAGCATTCGCAGTACTCAATGCCGAGGCGGCCAGATGCCACTCCACTCGGTGCCCCGCGGAGCAGTGGCGGATCTGGTGGACCAGGGCTTGAGTCCCACCAGCCCTCTGGGCGTCGGTGGTTTAGGGAGGTTCCTCTTCCACCCCTCCTTCTTCCCCTTCGGGGAAGGGTTTACCCCTCCCTCTCCCCCCTCCGTATGGACCTGGACAGGGGGTTCCGCGAGGTGTCGGAGCGTCCAAAAAACGGCCTCGGCGAGGAAGCACAACTCATTGATTTTACAGGGTTTTGGCCCCATTTTGGCCTCCTGGGGGTGGGGGATGTAATTAAGGACCCCCCTTCGTTGACCGATATCATCCAAGGTGGTCCCAAGAGAGCGCCTAAAGCTTCCAAGAACGCCCCGACAAGGCCCCTAAAGGAGCCCAGACGGGCCCAAGAGGCGCCCAGGAGGCCTCAAGAGGCCCCAGGATGGCCCCAAGATAGCCCCAAAATGGCCCCAAGAGGCTCCAAAAGACCCCCAAGAGGACCCCAAGCGGCCTCCCTGGGGCACCCAAGACGCCCAAGAGTCCTCAGGACCGCCAAGAGACCCCCGAGACGTCCCAAGAGGCTTCAAAACAACCGCCCACGAGATATCCCAAGGGGCTCCCAGAGGCATTCAAGAGACCTTCAAGAGACCCGAAGAGGCTTCACGAGGATCCCCGCAGCCCCCAAGATCCCCCCCAGACGCTCCAAGAGGTTTCCAAAACCCCCAAGAGACATCCTCAGAGGATCATATGTCCGCCCTGTTTCCTCCTCCTTCTCCTTGTCCTTCTTCTTCTTCTCCTCCTCTCCTCCTCCTTATCCGTCTACTCATCATCCGAGAACCAGCACCATGAGCAACAACAGCAGCAGCACTAGCAACAGCAACAGCAGCAGCAGTACCAGCAGGAGCAAGAGCACCAGCAATAACTCTTGCAAACTTCGCCACAAAAGATCTCCCAATTCACCGTTGTTGCCCGCTCCGGTTCACTATGTGAGTCTCTTCTTCCCTTCTTCCGTCAGCTTTCCTGGGTATCGTTTCTGGATTGGCTGGTGGGGATACTTTTTTTGATTCGCGGCCCGCAAGGAAAAGTCCAGAGGGCGGTAAGAACGAGGCTGGGACACAGCGCACGGGAAAGCAGATAATTAACGGCGCAGCACAAGTGCCGGCCGAGAAGCAGCTGAGCATGTGCCAGCAGCAGAGAATAAACAACGCTGAACATGTGCCGCTGGTGGGGATACGCGAAGCGTCTAGAATTAAACTGTGTTTTGGCAATTTCGTGGACCATGCTCGTTTTGGTTTTGATGTGCAGCAGAGGTTTAACGAAGACCGAGATAGAGAGAGGGAGAACGAAGCGAAAACCAAAACGGAACACATTGTATAGCTTTATGAATTTCCAACCTACTTTGGCCGTGATCGCCAGACATAATTTCGAGCACCAAGAAACCAAGGCAGTACCGAGACTGGAGGGTTTTCATGTGGCGGGCCCTGGCAGGCGATGCTGGTTCGACACTGTTTCGATACTTTTCTGGGTTCGGCGTCACCCCAGCATACTTGTACTATATGTGCGTCGCCCCCCATGGGGCGACGCGCACACAGAGAACTCTTATAGTATAATTTTGCGTCGTGGCGGGCGCTTTCTGGCCACACCGTTCGGGAAACGATATGCTACAAGATGCGCATACTATCTGTTTGGCTCGGACGCGCGCCTCCAAGGAGAACATCTAGTACTAGTATGTCTTTGTGCGTCCCATGGGTGCTCGAAACTATTTCTCGGATGTGGTCGTTGAATACGACGGGGGCAGCACAACTACAACTTGAGCCCCGTCGTGGACCATCTCCCAGCGTGCCCGGCCGTGCTGCCCCGGGTAGCAAGAGAGCGACTGGAGCTGGGCCCCCTCGTCCCTACTGCCCGCCGCGGGCCGGTGTGCCGCCGCCGAGGCCAACGGCATTCTGGGCCCCTCCGTGGACGTGCACCGCGTGGCGCGCAACGGGCGCAACTTCGAGTACCTCTCGGGCGAGGAGCTTCTCACCACCCACCAAACCATCCCAACCCAACCCGAAGGCCTCAATTTGCCTTCCATTTCCAGTGGGGGGTCGGGGAACACGGATAAAAACACATGGAACCCGTACTCCCCCCCAACCCGAAATTCGGGTCAAATTCGGGTCGTCGGGTTGGGTTGGGATTGTTTGGTAGGTAGTCAGCTTCATACACCGGGAAGCAGGGATTTGTGGGTATGGCACGGATATGTTTGGGTCCCCCCAGGGGCTCCAGTATATCCATATCCACCGCCTGTGGAGGTCCGCGAAGATCGATCCCCCAGGCGGTGGTTATGGATACATCCCCGCCTCGGAGGGGGGCCGCGCAGTGCATGGCCCCATCTCGCCACGCTGGGTGCCCGGGCATGCCGTGCCTGGTGCTGGAATCGTGCCTGGGGGGGCAGCGTACGTGGGGCTTTGCTGGGAGCCTTCGCCTCGGTGCGCGCCGTGCCAGAGTATCGGAGGCCCGTTCTGAAGGTCTGGTTTGTCGAGGGTTTCGAGCCAGTCTCCGATAGTGTTTCCCAGTCCTCTCCCATGCCGCCCAGAGGGGGTCGGAGGATCGCGCCACATCGCCGATGCATCTGCGATGCAGCGCGATCCAGAGCCTGGTTTTTTCCATCCTGGCGTCGCCGATGCATCGCGGATGCTTCGGGGATGCATCGGTGATGCAGCGCGGTCCTGTGACTCCGTCTGCTGGAACCATGCGGGCGGCCGCGAAGATTTTCTGGAGGGTTTCGGAGGGAGCCACCTCAGAGTCGTATCTTTTACATTGATGCCAGGGTTCGCTTAGCTTCTTGAATGTTCCCAGGGGCTCGATCTCAGTGACCAGTTGGCAGAGCTGCGCGAGGTCATCAATTCATTGCTCATCCCCATTTTCCTCGACGTCGCCGTCGCCGTCGCCATCTCCGTCGCCACCGCCATCGCCGCTGCCGCCACCGCCGCCGCCGCCGTCGTCGTCGTCGTCGTCGTCGTCGTCGTCGTCGTTGTCGTCGTTGTTGTTGTCGTCGTCGGCCCCCTCGAGGACCCCTACCTCGGGTCGAGGATGGCGGAGGAATACGTGGCAGGAGTGCAGTCGAAGGGCGTCTTTGCAGTCGTCAAGCACTGGATTCGAGAGGCCCGCGCCACCTCCCAGTGCTGTCGCGTGGGGGCGCTTCGGGGGTCGCTCCCTCTCCCCTCCTCCTGGAGGGTTTCTCCGAAGGGCTTAGGCGACCCGTCCTCCTCCTCCTCCTTCTCCCTCCTCCCTCCTTCCTCCTCCTCCTCCTCCTCCTCCTCCTCCTCCTCCTCCTCCTCCTCCTCCTCCTCCTCCTCCCTCCCCCCCCCCCTCCCCCTCCCTCCCTCCCCCCCCTCCCTCCCTCCCTCTCCCTCCTCCTCCTCCTCCTCCTCCTCCTCCTGCTCCTCCTGCTCCCCCTCCTGCTCCTCGATCCTCGATCCTCCTCCTCGATCCCCCCCTCGATCCTTCTCCTCTTCCTCTCGCTCCTCCTCCTCGATCCTCCGCCTCGAACCCCCGCCTCCTCCTCCTCCTCCTCCTCCTCCTCCTTTCCCCCCCCCTCCTCCTCCTCCTCCTCCTCCTCCTCCTCCTCCTCCTCCTCGGGCTCAAGTCCTCGGCCTCTGGGGGCCGAGGACACCACAGCATTTCACTCCTGGTCAGGTCCAGGAGCTTGGGGCTCGAACATTTCGCGTTCGCTTCCGCCCCCAGAGTTTTTCGGATCATTCCCCACCAGTCTGCCATGCCTGCCACTCTTGCGAAGGAGCACCTCTCCTTCGTGATCTGCGGGCATGTCGACATCGGCGAGAGCACCACCACCGCCCGCCTCAACTACGACCTGGGCGGCCTTCCGCAACGCGAGCTGGAGAAGCTCAAGGAGGAGGCCGTATGCCTAGTACCAGGCCCCATCGCCTTCACGTTCTACATGGACCGTCAGAAGGGGGTGACCAGCGCCTGCACCACCCAAGACTTCTACACCGAGAAGTGGCACTACACAGTCGTCATCGATGCCCCAGGCCATCGCAATATCAACAAGGTCGAAACCTGCAGAAGAAGGCTGCCTACATGGGCTGGTGGAAGGGCTGCAATGCCAAGTACGGCAAGGACTGCGCCACCCACAGATACAAGCAGTTCCGCTATGCCGAACTCGGAAACACATGAAGTTCATGTTGGTCAATGACGGGTGGTACAAGGACTTCGCAGAGAAGAAAACGCTTGCGATGCCAGTCTCCGGCCGGATGGGCGACTACCTGCTAACGAAGTCTGACAGCATGGACTTGTGGAAGGAATGCGTCGGCGAGTACGGCAAGGCCCGTGCCATGCAAAACATCCATCATAAGTCTGGATGGTTTTACCTTTCTCCGCTTGCCGCCTGAGGCAAGCCATGCTGCAATTAGGGCTCGCTCCTGGCCTTTGCATTCCGCTGCCCATTGGTGCATAAGAATCGTGGGAGAGGCCCGTGGGATTAGTCTTCCCCGCTCTCCGTGATGAGCCGTGGTCTGCATCTGTGTTGATTTGAATTTCTTGTCTTGTGCACTATTGCGGTGTGCGCCCGTGCAGTCGTCTTGTTTCTAAGTGGCACTGTGCTTAGTATGTGTTGCCCAGTCGATCAAAGCTTGTAAAAGACAGACCGTAGAAGTCAGTAAATCAGGTTGAGAGCTTCCCAAAAGTGTGGTGCTTCCCTGAAAATCATGCACGGCAGCCCTGACAGAAGGGAGTGGCTCGGCGATTGGAGCTCCGCCGAGTCCTACGGCCCATCCCCGCAGCGGGATCCCTGGCCGCAGGCGGCTAGTAGTCACCAGGCGAACGCCCCCTCCACCACGCGCTAATCCTCCTCCTCCTCCTCCTCCTCCTCCTCCTCCTCCTCCTCCTCCTCCTCCTCCTCCCCCTCCTCCTCCCCCTCCCCCTCCCTCCCTCCCCCTCCTCCCTCCTCCCTCCTCCCTCCTCGGGTCGTCTGGTATTTGAAGGCGGCCTGCTGGATGCCTTCAAGGGCATCGTGCTCACCGATGGTCCTGGCATGCAGGACCACAGCGCGCACTGTACATGCCAGGGCGGGCCCCTGCCCTGTTTTCAGTCGGGCGCGTCCCTCTGCACGAGGAACATTCAAACATAGGTGAACACGTCGTCCGGGGACGACTCTTCTCTGATTCCTGGCCTATTTTGGAATCTTTTTGACTGTCTTCTGTTTATCGTCCGACATCCGCCCGTAGGAGGACGTGCCCGACCCAACCCTGGGACAGGACCACGGCATGCGCCGTGTGCCTAGGCCGGCCTGCCTCTGGTTGCACTGTGGGCCATCTTGTGGGAACCTTCCGTGGAGCTTCGAGGTGGTCGGGCCCAGGGAGGCTGGTCGATGAGGGGGACGAGGGCTATGATGTTCCAACCCATTTTCGCCTCGATCACCAGAAAGAATCTCGAGCGCCAGGAAAGTACCCACAACTCGAGGGTTTCCGCGCGTCGGGCCCTGGGGGACACTCGCCCGACACTGTTTCGACACTGTTTCGACACTCTTTCGACACTTTTCCGGGTGCTCGACACTGTTTCTGGGAGGTGGTCCTTAAGTACGATGGGGCAACATAACGAGGGCAACTCCGTTCACGGTCGTTCCCCCGACCTTTCTTGGGGTTGAGCTTGATGTTTTTTCCGAGCCCGCTTGGTGTTTCGAGCCCCGTCCAGCCGTGGTGGCGAGGAGTTTTTTTTGGGCTTGCTCGGGATCGGGTGAATTGTGGGCGGCCATCTTTGCTTTGCGCTTTAAGGAAGGGGCCAGGTCACGGCATCACCGCCACTGATTGTGTCGAGCTGTGGCGGGCCTTGGTTGAGAGGTGCTCCGTGGGGCGCCACAACAAGCAGTATACTCGGGGAGCTCTGGAGGGACTCTCCGAAGATTGTCGGATGTATTGGTCATGACAACATGCGGTCAGGATCTTTGGTTGAGCACGGCGTGCTGCCAGTTCTGGCCCACCGCACTTCGGCGCGACACGCTAACTACGTCGCGGTCCCCGAGCGCCAGCTTCCCGAGCTTTCCTAGCCTCCTGCACCGCGGAGAGGAGCGACACGCTACAGTTAAAAACCCTAATAAGGACGCGCGATTTTGCTCAGGGTACCCTTGCGTCTTTGCTCTTTCTTGCTCTTGCGGCTCGTCCTTGGCCTCTTTCGCTTGCCCGCTTGTCAGGGTACTCTTGGGGTTTTCGTCGTCCGCCGCCCCAAAAATCCCAACTTCGGCTTCCAAGGGTCTTGTGTCCTTACCGCGCGTCCTTATTAGGGTTTTTGACTGCATCCGCATGTAAGGCACAGCGTGCTGATGGGGCTGCCGCCGCGACGCGCTGTAAGCTTACAGCGTCAGTCGAGCGAATGCCCTCTCGCAGAGGCTGCCAGCAGGCGTGCCGCAGGCCCGGTGGGAGGGCCATCGTCTCGGAGCCCATAGGAGTCTTGAGAGCTCTCTAGCCGAGCCCCTTTATGAAGCGGGGCTGGACAGAACCCCCAGCAGTGACACGTCAATTCGTGAATTGTCCGTTTTCGGTTCTCGAGAGGGCGCCGTGGCCGTCATTTTCCAGGCTCGCGCCCGCCAGCTTTGGGCCTCAGGTCGTTTTCACTAGACCACGTTTTGCTAAAGGGGGGTCTGTCCATCCCCGAATGAAGCTGCGCGAGATCTCTGCGCGTTTTACCGGCCACATGGTATTGAAACCTTGAGGCGCGGTTCCAAAGCGAGACGGCCTGACTCCGTTCCTATCTCCACTCCAGAGCCCCAGAGTCTCAGGCGAGGGTCTGATCTAGGAGCGCTGGTTCTTGCGAGCCGATGGAGAGTTGTTCTGTCATGCGTGTGGTAGGTGTAGGCTCGCTTGGAAGCGGGTCCTCACGCAGCCATGTGGGGGATCCACCTTGGTGTGCGAGCTGCGCAATGTACACCAGATCGCCCGGAGATGTGTCGGAAGGCCCGCGCCAGGGTGCATCAGAGGTCATACAGCGTAGACGTCTGTTGCAGGGCACGGGGGGTCCGGGATGGATCCCGTCGCCCCCTACCCTTTCCGACCTCCGAGGGAAGCCCCCGGGAGTGGTCGGCCCCGTGGAGCCCCGTGGAGCCCTGGAGCCCGCGGAGCTCGTCGTCGCTTCGCTGGAGCACGTGGAGCTTGGACGCGGTCAGGCCCCGTGGAGCCCCGGAGAGGCTGGAGGGGCCTCCGAGTGCATCCAGGGCTCCAGCGACGTGACCGACGAGCTCCGGAAAGACGGGGGCGTGACGTGCCCGCCCCCGCCTTCTCGGAGCTCGCCTCGCGCCTCGTCGGAGCCGCGGAGGTCCTCGGAGGCCGCTGGAGACCTCCGGCGGGGCCTCCTGGGGACCTGCTCGCAGGGGCCTCCAGGGTCCTGCGAGGCCCGCCATGAGACCGGAGACGCCCTCCTGCTCCTCGATCCTCGATCCTCCTCCTCGTTCCCCCCTCGATCCTCCTCTTCCTCTCGCTCCTCCTCCTCGATGCTCCTCCTCGATCCTCCTCCTCCTCCTCCTCCTCCTCCTCCTCCTCCTCCTCCTCCGCCTCCTCCTCCTCCTCCTCCTCCTCCTCCTCCTCCTCCTCCTCCTCCTCCTCCTCCTCCTCCTCCTCCCTCCTCCCTCCTCCTCCTCCTCCTCCCCCTCCTCCTCCTCCTCCTCCTCCTCCTCCTCTCCTCCTCCTCCTCCTCCTCCTCCTCCTCCTCCTCCTCCTCCTCCTCCTCCTCCTGCGGCGGCCGCGTGTCTGCCGCGCGCCGGGAGCACATTGATCGGGAGCCGGCGCAACCCCCCAACCCCAGGACAAGCACGCCGCTCAGCGGCGAGCAAGCCCCGGAGCCGAGGGGGTGCGCCGACCGGGGCCTCTACCTCGCATACACGGGAGCACGGCGGCGACGCCCAGCAAGGCGTAGCCGAGTGCGAGCGCCAGTCGCCCGCCCCCGGCGCCGCCCGCAGCCCCGCGCGCGCCAGCCGCCGTCGGGCCCCAGTGGCCTGGCGCCCCGGGCCCCGCGGCCGCGGCCCACCCAGTTCCCCGGCGGGGCAGCAGCGGCAGCAGCGCTGCGCCTGCCAGCGCCCCTCCGAGCCGCACGGGCAGCGCTGCGCTGCACCGTGCCAGGCCGCCCAGCGCCGGCGCCGCCGGCGCCGCCGCCGCGCCGCAGTTGCCCAGCCGCCTCGGCGCGCGCCCAGCGCCCGCGGAGCAGCGCCCGAGCCCCAGCTGCAGCGGCGCGCCCGCCAGCCGCTCGGCGCGCGCCCCCAGCGCCAGCCGCTCAGCTCAGCTGGGGCCGCTCCCCCGCGCTCAGCTCGCGCGCGCGCGGCGGGCCGCCGGCTCGGCGCCGCCTGCCCCGCGGCGCGTCACCCCGCGCGCGGCCAGGCAGGCGGAGCGGAAGGCCTCCGCGTTCCCGCGCTGCAGCGTCGCCGCGAGGCTCTGGCGAGCCGCCGCCAGCACGGCGGCGTCGCCGCGCGCCCAAGTGCGGAGGAGCGCCTGCGCCTCCGCCCCAGCGCGCCCCAGCGCCTCCAGCGCGAAGGCCGTGAGGGCCGGGCCCGGATAGCGCCTGTGTTTGCGCTCCTCCGCGGCTGCCGCGGCCGCGCCGTCCCGGGCGGCTCGGCTCCGGCCCGCCGGCGTGTCTGCGCCCAGGGCGGCGTCCGTGACCACCGCGTCGACGCAGGACGCGCCGGCAGCGGGGTCGGTGAAGACCGCGTCGAGGCGGGCTGCCTCGACAGAGCCGTCCGCCCGAGCCTGGTCCCAGGCGGGCACGAACTGCTCCGTGCCCACGCCCGCTGCGCCCCGGGCCTGCAGCCAGCCGGCGAGCCAGTCCCTGACGCCGTCGTGGCGGTGGCTCGTGCCGCCGCCGACGTGGCAGCCCAGGCAGTGCCCCGGCGTCGCGGCCAGGTCGGCCCCGCAGAGAGCGCCGTCCTCCCGGCGCCGGAGGCAGGTGGCGCTGGCGCCCGCGGGCGCAGGCAGCTGTAGTCGCAGCGCCAGGGCCGGGAGGAAGTGCGCGTCCGCCATGACGTGGTCCTCCTTCGTTGGCGGCAGGAGCCAGCTTCCCGCGCCCTTCCCGCTGGCCGAGCGGAGCTGCGCTGCGCGGCTCGGCGGCAGGGCGCCCAGGAGCCGCTGCCGGCGCGCGCGTTGCTCCGGCGCCGCAAGGGCCCGCTGCGCCTTGGCCTTCGGCTCCGCGGCGGCGCAAAGCCAGTCCCCGCCGCGCGCCTGGAGCGCGCGGCCCGCGCCCTCGGCCTCCCTCCACGTCGTCGGGCAAACCTGCTGGAAGGCCTCGAGGCTGGGCAGGCCGAGCTCCCTGCAGACGCCGGCCAGACACGCCTGCCAAGCCCCCACAAAGGCCGGGGGCCTCCTGTGCGCGAGGCCCTGGAGGCCGAGCCCGCCAGCGGCGAGGGGCAGGAGGGCCAGGTCGCTCGCGAGGGCGCGGAGCTCCTGGTGCCCGGTGAGCGGCTTCAGAATCTCGTGCGCGTGGCCGAGAACCACTGCGTCGTAACCTTGGCACCGCGCCTCGTCGAGCAGGTGCGCCCTCGCGTGGTGCAGGGCCGCGCCGTTGGCGAAGGTGCGAAGCAGCGAGAGCTCGTCTTGGGCGCGCAGCCCGTGCTCTCGGAGCTGGCGGAGGGCCGCGAGGTAGGCGTCGAGGTGGTCCCGGGCCGCCTGCGGGGCGGCAGCCGGCGAGAAGCTCGTCCTTGCAGGGTCGGCGCCCGGGGCTGCTCCCGCTGCGTGGCGCACGTAGGGGGGAGTGCTTCCCACGCGCGTGAGCTCGGGCACCTCCGCCCTGGCCAGCGGCCCAGGGAGCTGCAGGGCGCGCGGGTTCCACACCTTCGTCTTCCGCGGGTTCACGCGGAGGCCCCGTGCCGAGAAGAGCCCGGGCGCGGCGAGGAGCGCCGCTGCCAGTGCGCGCGGGCTGCCCACGACGTACACGTCGTCGAGGTGCGCCACCACCTTGGCTTCGGGGTCCACGCGGCGCGCCGCCGTCTCCAGGCACTCGTAGAGCGCCCCCGTCGCCACTGCGAAGAAGGCAGGGGACAGGGGGCAACCCTGGTCCACCCCGCGCTGCGCTGTGACCGGCGCCGCTCTGGCCCCGGGAAGGCGGGCCCCGCGCGTGGTGGCGCCGCCGTGCCACGCCGCCGCGAGCCGCGCCAGCTCCGGCAGGCGGCCGGAGACCTCCCGCAGCAGCGTGTCCCGGCAGAGCTCGTTGAACGCGTTGGCCACGTCCAGGGAGAGCACGGCGGCGCCAGGGTCCCTCTCCAGCGCGGTCGCCACGACGCGGTGCATCAGCTCGATCCCGTTCTTGCGGCCAACGCCAAACTGGTGGCGCCCCGCTGCCGTGGCGATGGCTTCTTTGTGAGCCGCCGTGGCCGCCTTGGCCGCCATCCTGCGCAGCGTCTCGCCGCGGGCAAGCGGCCGCGCACCGCCCCCGGGCTTCAGCAGCGGCAGCAGCCGCCCGGCGAGGAGAGCCTGCTTCGCCTGCGCCGGCGCCCGGCCCTCGAGGATGAGGACGAGGACCTGCGCGAGCGCCTGAGCCCCCTCTTCGTGCCCACGCAGGGCCGCCCAGCGCTCGAAGCGGGCGCCAGACAGGCCCGGGCCCGAGTGGCGAGGGTACTTCCCGAGGCTGCCTGCCACCGCCTCGGCGGCCTCAGCCTCCCAGGGCGGCGGGGGGCGCGCCGGGGGCGGCGGCGGCGCGCGGGCCCCGGCGGTCGCCTCCGGGAAAAGGGCGGCCAGGTCGCGGGCCACCTCGGGCCCGCGCGCCAGCTTGCCAGGCCCGGCGGCCGCCGCGGCCGCGCGGCCCACCTCCCCGAGCACGATGAGCTCGTGCACCCGTCGAGCCACCTCCTCCGGCTTACGATGCCCTGGGCGGTCTTCTTCTGGTTCTCCGGGTCGCGCGGTCGCGGCCCACGGCGCCGCCCAGTCCCCCGCCCAAGCTTGGCGCAAGCGGCGCGGCAGCACCTTCGAGGCCGACGGCCGCTCGTCACTGCCGCTGGCTGGGGGCACCGCGAACAGAAGCCTCGGGAGCAGGACCAGCTGGGCCCACGCTGCCTCGCACATGGGGCGCGCCGCGACGGCGCGCAACGCCGCGGCGAGCACGTCCGCGACCGCCGTGACCAGGGTCGGGGGCGTCGCCGTCCACGTGGGCACGGGCTCCCGCAAGGCACCGTTCAAGTCGAAGCCAGCCCACCACTCCAGCCTCGGGAGCTCGCCCGCTTCCGCCGCCAGCACGTGCCGCGGGTGGACGTCGTTGGCGGGCGCGTCGTCCTCCTCGCGCGGGACCGCCCCCGGCAGAGGCGCAGTGCAAGCGAAGATCTCCACGCGAGCCTCCTCTGGCAGCGCCGCCAAGCCCTCCACCGAGCCCAGGGGCACGCCGCCCGCGATGCAGGCTGGGTGGCGGAAGTGCCGGTCTGGGTTCGCCCTGCTCGCAAGGCGCACTGCCCCTGGCTCGAAACCCGAGCAACACACGCAGCATGCCGCCACGTGCTTCCGAGGGGCCTGGCGGCTGGCCACCCAGGCGCGCACCCCGGGCGGGCGCCCTGCAGCAGCGGCGGGCGGCGCAGCAGCGGCGGCAGCAGGCGCGGCGCCGGCAGCGCTCCCCGGGGCAGCAGCGGCGCCAAGTGCACCGCCAAATTGGGCTGCCCCGAGAAGCGCGGCCGCGGCCGCGGCGTCCTCGTTCTGATCCCCGCCGCGCCCAGCAGCATCCAGCATCTCCACGTCCTCCTCCATGGCCCGGGGGTTGGGGAAGGAAGGCGAAGGGGGTGAGAGGTGAAGAGCGGGTGAGATGAAGTATGTCAGGGCCGCTCACGCCCTTGAGCCATCTCCCCAGGATTCGTGGCCTCCCTCCTTCTTTCCGAACGCCCTCCCTCTCCTCTTCCTGCTCCTCCTCCTGCTCCTCCTCCTGCTCCTCCTCCTACTGCTCCTCCTCCTCCTCCTCCTCCTCCTCCTCCTCCTCCTCCTCCTCCTCCTCCTCCTCCTCCTCTCTCCCTCCTCCTCCTCCTCCTCCTCCTCCTCCTCCTCCTCCCCCTGCTCGATCCTCGATCCTCGGTCCTCCTCCCGGATCCTCCTTCTCCTCTGCCTCCTTGGTCCCCTTGGTTCGAGGGTGTTTTTTTGTCCCTCTCTTGCTGGGAGACCTCCTGGAGTGCATCCCGAGGGTTTCTGCGTTGTTCTCTCGCCCAGGTCGAGCTCTCCCCACTCCCGACAGCGAGGACACATCGGGCGGGCCCAGGACCGGGGATGACTCCCTCCAGAGCTTTCTGGAGCGCTCTCAGAGCGTTCTGGAACGGCCTCGGCACCAGATTTAAGTTGGGCCTGTCCCTCTACAGGGGGAACATTCGAAAATAGTACAAAATAGTCAGGGGACGATTGTTTGACCATTTTTGATTGTTTTTGGAATATGTGTTTACTATTTTTGATTTGTCGTCCAAAATCCCCCTGTAGGGGGACACGCCCGACCTAACATAAGATGCATCCTCTCCAGAACCGCCCGATCTCAGAGGCCATCCGTTTTGTCCTGGTCCGATTTTGGCCCCGTTCCTTGGTTTGTTTTTCTGGCGAAGGCCACATGCCAGTGCCAGGCACCGGGCTGAGACGCCGCAGGGGCGGGCGGCGGATCTTCAACACCCAGGAGAACGACCGCGAGATCAGCTCGTCGGTCGTAGACGAGCGGTCCGCGCACGAGCTGTACTACCCGCCCTTCGAGGCGCGATTCCCCGAGGGGCGTGGGGAGCTAAGCTCCGGGACAACTCTAGCGGGGATGGGCTCAGGGCGGGGCCGCCCGAGACAACAGTGGGCGACGTCGGTTTGCAAGCTTCTGTAGTTTGCGCCTCTGCCGCCCCCCCCCCCCTCTCTCCTTCCCCTTCTTCCTGTGCCTGTGGTCTCAGGCGTTCCGTTGAGTCTTGTTTCGCACAGTTTGCCCACGCGTCCGCCAGGGGTGCACGGCTTCAGACGGTCAGGCTCGGTGCATCGACGCCCAATCGCCTCGTCGAGAGCGCTCCTGGGGTGCGCGGATCGGGGGGGGTCCGCCAGCTGCGCCTCGTCGAGAGCGTTCCGGGGGTGCTCGGGGATCGTCCCGAGCGGCCGCCCGAGAGCTGAGCTAAATACAGTCGGGGCCCACGCCAAGAAACACCCTGCTTGCCTCCAGGGTACCCTGGGCTTCTTGGGTCTCGATGGTTTTGCCGCGGAGAGCGTGGCGTTCCCACACCAAAAATCAATGGACGCCTTGGGGTCTCGGGGTTGGGTTTCTTGTGGAAGCTTTCGTGTGGACTGGCCTCCACTGTACGATCCGAACTCTGAGCGACGAGGATCACGTGGGGGGAGGCCCAGGGGGAGTGCCTCGACCCCCACCGGCCCGCTCGTCGCCGACGGGGGCTCGAGGGCCCCACCCCGCCCGGGGCCGAGCGGATCCGCCATCGGGGGCCGATCGCCGATCTGCCGGCGACGCAGGGCCGCTGCTCCCGCTTCTGCCCGAGGAGCCCGAGGAGCCCGCCCCCCCGATGTGAATTGCCCCGCGCGGCAGGCCCGCGCCGTGCCGGCGCGTTGGCGACGCCTGCGCAGGCTCTCGATGGGGTGGGTGCGTGGGTGCAGCGGCCGGGGCCATGCCTCGGTATCGTTTCACCGAGCCCCATCCCCATCCTCATCCCTCCCTCGAGACCCCCTACCAAGTTACCCCCCCCAGCTGGGGATGCTCCCCTCGAAGCCCGAAGGGGGACGGCCCATACCCCCATCCAGGGGGGCACATAGGCCGGTGGGGCCCAGGCTACGCCGCTGGGGATGGGGATCGGTTCAGCGATATTCAATGACATCTCCCCAGGATTCGTGGCCTCCCTCCTTCTTTCCGAACGCCCTCCCCCTCCTCTTCCTGCTCCTCCTCCTGCCCCTCCTCCTGCTCCTCCTCCTACTGCTCCTCCTCCTCCTCCTCCTCCTCCTCCTCCTCCGTAGCCATTTTGGCTCAAGGTCCGTAGCAGGAGGCTCAAGGACCTAGAGTTTCTTTGGCACTGGGGAGTGACGGCCCCAACCGTTTTCACACTTCTTACAGCCTGTACTGAGGTTTCATCCCTCATCTGCGACACACAATAGCCACGGAGCGTGGTTGCTCTCGCCGCGCGTGCTGCAGCCTGGCGTCGTGGGGATGCCTCCGCCGCACTACCGCTCGGAGCAGGCGCTTCCCTGGTACTGCAAGAGCTGCTGCGGGCCCTCGGGGAGATCGTGGTGGAATCATGCAGAGGCTCGGCAGTGTGCGAAGTGCAAGCTCGGCAAGGGACTGGTCTTCCACGGAGTACGCAAGCCGTCCGCCCCCTCCCAGCGGAGGAAGGGTTACCTGGGCGGCGGTGGCAACGGCTACTGGGATGACTCCGTCAGGGTGGCCCAGCTCAAGTCCGAGCTCGCGGCGGCTCGCAAGCGGCTGGCAGCTGTGCAGAGGCCGCCGCCTGGCGGGGAGGACGTGCAGATGGAGCCCGCTGCGGACGGGGACGCCCCCGAGTCCGTTGCCAAGGACAGGCTGCGCGAGGTCGGCGACCTCATCGGCAAGCTCAAGGGCATCGCGGAGCCGTCGGTCGTTGCCACGCGCGACAAGCTGCTGGCGGAGCAGGCCGAGCTGCGGGCCAAGGTGGCGGAGTCTCGACCGCTCGGGCAGCGCTTGCGCGAGATGGGGGCTCAGTTCACCAGGCAGCAGAAGCTGCGGGACGACCAGCAGACTAAGCTTGAAGGACTGCAGGCGCAGATACGTGACTTGCAGGAGAAGGAGCGGATCACTCGTGACAAGCTGGCGGCCATCGACGCTAGCATGGAGGAGCTGGACCAGGAGCGCAAGAAGCTTCAAGGGCAGGTTCCTACGCCAGGTGACAAGGCATCGCTTGACGAGCCGATCAAGGGGGTCGGCGCCACGATCGAAGGCCTTGGTATCTTGCTCCAGAGCCTGGGCGCCGATCACCAGCTGTCGGGCAGCCTCACGGCGAGTTTTCAGGAGTTGCAGAGGTTGCAGGTGGAGGAGGCTGCGAAGCTGGCAGCCCAGAAGGCGCAGACCGCTGCTGAGGCCGAGGCTAGTGCCAATGTGGAGCAGGCCGAGCAGCAGGACACTGCAGCAGCCCCTCGCACACCACAGCCAGCAGTCTTCTCTGATGACCCCGAGTTCATGGAGGAGGTCGTCGCTGCTGGTGGCGAAAAGCACAGGCTGGAGGAGATCTTCATGCGATGGGGCGCCAAGGTCAAGAAGCCCAGGCTCACCCCTGTCTAGCCTGGTTCCACGGTGCTGTCTTGTGTGGTTGGTTCCTTTTTGTTGCACCATGGCGTCGCTATCAAGTATTACTACCGTGAACGTGTCCTCGGGCGGCCCGCTCGTCGACTTCCTGCCCACGTGCTCAAGTTTGTGCATCGCTGTGCAGGAACATCATGCTAAGGCTGAGGGCGAGGCCTTGGCGAAGTTACAGAATAAGGTACGAGCTGCTGGGTACCATGGAATATGGGAGCCTGCCTTACCAGGGCAGGGAGCTGGCAGCAGAGGCGGGGTCGCGGTGTTGGCCCCGTTGCGGGTGGTCATCACCAAACCCCCAGGCCTTGACAGTCACGTGCTTCATGATGGCAGGATGATGGCGGCCCACGTTCACGCCGGGGTGAAGGGCGGCTTCGTCATGTTGTCGTGCTACTTCGTCGTCGACGTGAAGCTGTCGCCTGAGAATCTGGCCATGCTGTACAAGCTGTACCAGTACGTCAGGTCGCTGGAGGCGATGGGCGTCCCGTGGATTGTCGGAGGTGATTTCAACATGGAGGTGGGCGAGCTAGGCCCGTTGTCCTGGCTCCAGTCGGCCAATGGGGTGGTGATGGCGCCGAGGGAGCCAACGTGTCTTCAGAGCCTTCCTGGCCGCACCATTGACATGTTCATGGTCTCCTGCCGTTTGCTACCTCGCGTTCGGCAACCGGTGGTGGTTGACGCGGAGACGTGGCCGCATCTGCCCGTGACCATGGAGCTCTCCGCCACGGCCTTCGACGCGAAGGTCAGGAGGCTAGTCGAGCCTCGCGGCATTCGTAGCCCGCCTGCGTCGGGGTGTGCGAGGTTTCCCCCCGACTGGGACCCGATCATGGTGGTCATCCAGAGCGCGACCGACAGCGAGGGCATCACCAGGGCCTGGGACGTCGTGCTCAGCGGCATCGAGTTTGAGCTGCAGGGCCGCTACGACCTTGTGAATGAGGCGGCGGAGTACTCCACGGTGCCAGGCCCCCCGACCTTCGAGCTGGTGAGCTTTCACCCTGTGGTGAAAGGAGCCTGGAGCAGGAGGTCGGCTGCCACCCAGGCCTGGGCGCAGGCTGCGCGCTGGGCTCGTCACCTCAGGCGAGTTCGAGTGGCATTGCAGAGTTTCGTGCTCCAGCTTGGTCCGCAGCATGACTTCGAGCTCGGCAGCGTCGGCGTGGTGCATGACGACGGAGTGCCTGGCCTGGTCGATGGTGCACCCCCTGCCGCGGAGGTCGTCGGAGTGGCTGGTCTCTCCTCCGATGGTGGTTGGCCTCGGTCGAGAGCGCAGCGACACCAGCCCCTGCGTCGTGCAGGCGAGGGCCCATCGTGGGACGCCGTACACTCCAAGGCGGCGCGCCACCTGCTGGAGTGCGAGAATTTCTTCCAGAGGATTTGGCGGAGGAAGGGAGTCTGGCCGCACCTGGACGCCGAGGCCGTCGGTTTCTTCTCGCGTGGCATGCTGGTCTTAGCGCGGGCAGACTTCGAGCAGCAGGTCGACCGCATCCTGAATATCTCCTCTGATGCAGAGGCCAAGCATGAGAAGGCCGCGTCGCAGAGCTGGAGACAGTGGGCGCAGGCGGCTTTTGTGGCTGGCGCTAGGGGAGCTCACCGCTTCCTGAAGCCCAAGGCTCTCCAGGAGATCGTGGACGGAGGCAATGGGCTGCAGCATGGGTACGAACTGGCCGACCGTAAGCTGGAATTTTGGGAAAGCTTCTGGGTGCGGCATGGTGGTGAGGCGGTTCGCCGACCTGCTGATGCTGACGCTTGGGAGCAGCTACCAAGGCTTGAGGCGGCTGACGTGCTCAAGGCCATACGTTGTTTTTCTTGGCAGACAGGTGTCGGGCAGGTCAACATCGCGCCCAGGGCCATGGAGCACCTCTCCCGCGGGGCGCTGACGGCCATGGCGCGCCTCTTCGAGCAGTGTGAGTACCTGCTATTGTGGCCAGACGGCAGATTCATTTCGAAACTTGTGCGGCTTCCCAAGCCAGGGGGTGGGGAGCGTCTGATTGTGCTGATGAACACGCTGGTCAGGATCTGGGGACGGGCGAGGCGGCCTGTCTCGGCAGCGTGGGAGAAGGCCCATGCGCTCCCAGAGGTTTGGGGCCACACTGGAGGCAAGTCGTCGAGTGATGCCGCCTTTGATTTGGCTCTTACCAAGGAGATGGCGACCCTGTGCGATGATGACGCCATCATTGTGTTGCTGGACATGCTCAAATGCTACGAATTGGTCAGGCATGATGCCATATTGTTGGAGTGCAGGGCCAATGGATATCCCATGAGAATGGCGTTTATGCTTGTGCAGATGTACCAACAATTGCGTTCTGTGTACTCGTACTCGTCTTACTCGGTGGCGCGCAGGGCATGTCAGGGCATCCTGGCAGGCTGCACCCACGCCACGACGCTACTGATGGTGTTGCTGACTCGCAGTATTCG